GCGGGACACGCGTCATCCCGCCTGGCGCCATACGAGGTGTTCAAGTCACGAAGACGCCGGATTATGTTCAAGTCGTGGGATTCATTGATCAGAGGCACTGGTGGAGAAATGGATCCCCACGGGGCAGATTTGGTGTACTTGTAAAATGCTTCATCAACTTACCGATTTGTTGTCTCGGTAGGTAACTACTTGCTCGAGCATGGTGATGAAGTCAGCAAGTCATATAACTTTATAAGAGGAAGGAGGAAGAACTAAGCTGAAGAAACATAAAGATGCTTACAAGGTTGGGTGTGTTCCTGATCGATATCAGATTAGATCTCCCATCGCTCTTGTTAGGGTCAGCCTTCCGAATCCGAGTCCTCATCCTCGTCTTCGTCGTCTTCCTACCTTCCCACTGCTTCTCCTTCGAGTCTCTCTCAAAATTCCTCCTCTCTTTCGGCTTTATAATCTTTGTGCGTTGAAGGTCTCCGGGTTTCGGCTGCCTTCGTGAACCGCTCCCAATTTTTCGAGGGCCTTTCCGAAGCCTTCCAAGCCTTTTGTTGGGCTACGACAAGGAACTCAGCAGCGAGAGAGATCTGGCTCATGCTCCGGCCGAGGGCCTAGAATTCGATCAAACCAGAGGCGGACCACATATATTGACCAAAACCTCACCGTGTACATACGTTGAGAAACTACGATGGCACTCTCACTCCCCATCCCGGTGGATATAGTCTATACCATTCTTGATGAGCTTTCATCTGACGCTGCATGTCTCCAACAATGCGCGCTAGTTTCTCGGGCATTCCTCTCGCACTGTCACAAACTTCTCTTCTCCCACATCCGCCTCGACCATCCACGGCAAAGTCGCGGTCTCCACCGCGCAATCAGCAACAACGCGTCTATCGCATGCTTCATCAGGACCCTCGAAGTTGTCGCCAGCGTCCAGCCAGAGTTCCGCCTCCGCGACTGGGTGACAATCGAGCAGACCCTAGCGCCTCTCATACAAATGCTGTACAACCTAGACTCTTTCACCTTCCGCAGCACCTTTCAGCTCCCCCTTCCATGGCAATCCTTACCAGTGGATTTGAGATCTGCGATCCTCGAGCTTTCAGCACCGTCAATAACCCTCGAATATCTGGCCAATCTCCCGATAGCGCAGTTCATGCGGCTCACGCGCTTGAAAAGCCTGAGTCTCATTCACATCTGGACAGATCCCAGCCACCCCCTTGATTCGGCTCCTCTGCAGACCTCACCGCAGACCTTCGGGTATCTCGAGACGCTCGAGATTTTGGGGTCACCGACGTGTGGAAAGCTCCTCGTCTCCGTATTGACACACAGACGTTCCTCCTTGAAACTATCGCAGCTCAAAACCCTGGCGCTATACGGGAACCATGAGCTAGGAGGTGCAATCCTGGATGTCGCAGGGCAAACCCTCCAACGCGTCGTCTTGGGCGGCCTGGGCGAAGACAGAAATTGTAAGCAGAGTGCATTGCCGACCAACTAAGTATCTGTTAATGATAAGCACCCCTTTATCCCAACAGTCCAATTCGTCGCCTTCCCTTCATCCTTCAGTACACTCCCTTCTCTCCGATCCTTGACCCTCAGCACAAAATTCGCGCGAGGGCACGCACACGACCCCCTACCCCTTATTGCCCGCGCACTCGCCGGCGCCACCCCGAGTGATACCTGCGCGCTCACCCATCTCGAAGTTCACATAGATTTCTACGGCGTCTGGAAGTTCGCCATCACACCACGCGACGTAGACGCCGTCGACGAGTACGCATTCTGGCCGGCCATTGATCAGGCCCTGACTCGTCCGCGGGTTTACACGAGGCTAGAGACGGTCAGGATTGGGTTGAAAGTTGGAGGTGGTGGTGAGGCCTTTGCTAGGCTCCCTCGGAGGCGGATGCCTGCTCTGGTGGAAATGGGTGTCCTGCGCATGGTTTTCACCGATAAGTGAACGGAGATAATAAACTTCTACTCGGGTCTTTGGATTTTGATGATTTAGTGAGATTTTGGAAATGCCGGTGGGGAGTTGAAAGGTGGACACGTTCCAGGCATCACGTGAGATTACAGTTCGCGAAAATTCAAATTCCGACCACGCGTCAGTCCCTGATACTGTACCACCATGCCCTTGAGCTTTTCTTTTCACTGCCATCCGCATCCATCCACCCCTTTTACCCCACATTCATTTCCAATGCTAAAGATGCAACGTGTATGTTTGGCGTTCGGCCTCGAGTTAGATACGAAAAGGTTGAAGACTGATAACCCCGCTGCCCCCTTCAGATAAAGCAGACCAAGGATTATCCACAAAGAAGACAAGTTGGACAGGAGGCTCCTGGCTTGCTAGCTTGCTTTACCCCTCACTTGCTTTGATCTGCTTGTCACTAGTCTCTATCGTTGGTCTGGTCATTCTTGAAGGGCGTCCACAACTAGCGGGAAGAAGTTGAGGTGTTTAACGCAACCGATGCTCATCTTATTTCCCTTGTCATCACTTCGAACGCTCCAGCTCATCGCATCATCACGGAAATCTCTCAGTAACAATCTAGGACAGTCATAGCGGCACTCAACCACCCTGGGATACTCCCCTTTTCGATCGTCTGGCAGTCCACTTCTCTTGTCACTCACCCATCGAAACTTCGGCGGTAGCTGGATCCTGCCTTCTACCGGGAAGTTCTAGGAGCATTGGAAAGCATTGACCTCCGATCGTCTCTATTGGCGTGTCCGAGCGGGCGACAGAATTCTCCATGTATGCGCGCTCTTCATTCCATTGCAGCCCGTCGGCGGGTTAGCGTAATGGCCTAACGCGTCAGTTTCCGAGAGGTGGTAGCTGGAGATTCCGGGTTCGAGTCCCGGGCCTGTCGCTTTTGCTGCTCAGTCCACGTTCTTTTGTCCCCCAAGGCCGGCATGTAAGTAGAGCGATCCCTTGCGTGTCAGTACTGACCTGATCTCTTTGATAGCAGGCAATGGCTGCGCATTGCGCTTGAAGTTCAAGATACTACTTGGGCTCGATGCTCGGGATATCGTATCGTTGTAAGAGCCAACGCGAAGGTCATTCAGAGACTTCAGGCGCTCGTCAATATCATTATGAAAGTCGAAACTTTTATAGTTTTGTCGCTTGGCGTGCGATATTGACGCGATCCTGTATGTCCGTTGACCCTTTTGAAATTTTCGAATTGACGATTCGATTTAAAGGTCTAGATTATCAGATTTCGAGCTGATGTCGACGTATGTCCCCGGTGGGAGCCCGGGCCGCCGTCATGAATCTGAACAATGGATATTGTCAGCTTGAGCGCTAAAGCGATCACTGTCGGCGCTAAGCTCTAGCTGTATCGCTCACTCTGGGACTCAATGCGCAGCCAGCAATTCGAGACAGATACATACGATTCACGAACGTTTGCTTTTGTCCTTACTCGACAAATGGAGAATCCGACCTGGACATCCCAGGCTCCCTCAATTTACAGTGGTGCAGCCTGCACTCCGCTCATGAGAAAAAGTTGGTCGGATAACTACGAAAAGCTTGGCTAAAGTCGCAGGGCTCCGGTTGCCATGATACACCCACGTTTGGTTGTCACAACTTGTTCTTCGTCATCTGTGTGGCTTTGCGACTTCAAAATCAGGTCATCAGCGCCGTCTAATCTGATCAGAAGTCAGACTCACCTGTACATACGAGCTCGACACTGATGAGTGATTTATCGTTGTAAGTACCCTGTGAGTCTGACCTCTGGCGCATGTCCAAGCAAGCAAACAGCATGCTGACGCCCTTAGGACGTTCGAATCGATGTATACATACGCCATACAGCCGCGTTGATGCACCACGCCGGATTTCCAAATGAGGTATGTTCCGAGTTCGGGAGTCGAAGCCCGACATCAGCTTATTAAATATTTAATTGACAGCACGGGAAGCGCCCAGTGACGAGATTCTCGTGGTGATACATACTAGATCTCTGGAAACTCCTCAGTGTCACCCTTGGTTACCGGAGCAGTCTATCTCATCTCATGGAACGCGCGCTGGAAATGAGCCCCGTGTGAGCCCGGTCCCGGTGTGAGGCTGGGTCTCTGGCAATCTTTTGTCTCTGTACCACTGACTGTCATTTTTTGGACAGACAGGTTGAACTTGAGCTTGATGCTTCATGAAGGGTGGCGTTGATAACTCAGCGGATACTCTTTTGGGCAGGCCCAGCATCCAGGGAAGCGCACAACAAATGTGGACCCTAATGGACATATGGCTCCGCCGGCGGCCGCCATGAGAGATTTTTGCCCAGCTTTTCCTCGAGTAATATTCTCGTCACGGCTCACACAACGCCACATGGTGTTGCACACCTCGTGCCTGACAACCGCTTTGGAGGGCGTCAGTCAAGTCTCCTTATAATGTGTCTCGAAATCGCTGGTCAAGCATCATCTTTTTCCTCGTCTTGTGTGTCCAACCCACGAGCGATTTTCTCCTAGCGTCGCCTCTCGCGCTCGTCACCACTTTCCTTTGAAAACCCACTGTCTTTATTTGACTCGACGTCAGAATGTTGCGTCTCGCATTGGTCACTGCGGCCTTGTTCTCTTCTCTTGCGAATGCCCATCTGGCGGCATGGCACAAGGGCATGTACTGTCTGGATGTTCGTAATCACTTTTTCTGAAGCGGTGATGTTTCTGACCTACTGATCTCCTGTAGGGACCTAGCGGCAAGGTCGACCTCAACAACAACAACCCGGTGCGACCGCTGTTTAATCTTCCCTTCGAGCAGTGGTGGTTCCACCATGTCGACAACGTAAGCAACTTTTTGGGATTGAAATATCTCGTTTGTCTCACCACTCGACGTACTTTAGTGCGACAACTTCCCCCCCAAGGCCGGAGACTTTTTGGAGCTGTGAGTCTTCCCTGAATGTTTCGCGTTTCCAACGGCTCATAAGTAAATGTTTCCCAATAGCCCCGCGGGCAAGGACTTCACCGTCGAGATTGCCGCTAACCGCGGCCAAACCAGCCTTTCCTATAACGGCAAGTACGCCTCAGACTGGGTAGATGGCCAGAATTACCCCGCCGACTACGTATGTCTTCTATCCACCTACAAAGTTACCCACTCACCATGAATGACAGAACAAGAGTCCCGGCTGCATCACCACCCCCAACAGTGCGTCGCAACCAGCCCCTTACAGCCTCTAGCCCCCTTTCTCAATGTTATATTCGTAGTGCACACCCAGAACCAGTCAATGGCAGCCGGCACGGCGTTCGCCATCTCCTACCAGGTGAGTATTGACAGCTTTATCGATCCAGAGAGCAAGAATCTGACATCTGACCTTACTATGACAGTCGGATATCAAGAAGGTCACCCCGGACAACCTCGTCGTCTTCAGCGTCCGCTACCAGTGCGCTCATTATCGTTGATCTCAATAACTTTACATCTAATGAACATTCAGCACTCCCTGGCTCCGTGTCACCAAGTACGATGTTCCCAAGGACTTGCCTGCCTGCCCCCCTGGTGGATGTATTTGCGCTTGGGGTTGGGTTCCCAACGGGTACGCATTTTTCTTCCTTACCTCGCCTCCTCGTCTGACGCGATCCCGAATCCAGTTGCGGTGAGCCTAACATGTACCACCAAGCCTTCAAGT